ATTATTACTATTATTATTGCAATTATTTCTTTCAACTATTTCAGGATAAAACTATTATAACTTATATGCAAAAGTTTTAAATGATCACTGCAAATTTCTATTTGAGAAAAAAAAAGTCATTAGCAATATGGAAATTTCCAGCAAAAATATAGAAAATTAATAAGATAACGATAAATTACATACTTTTTAGATTTTCAAAAACGAAAAAAAAAAATTTCTGATCATTACGAAATCATAGATCATCCAATTAGTTATTAGTTGTCATTGAAAGTAGTACATTTGCACTTAATGAAGGTCAGTTAATTTTTGTCGCACAATTTCGAATGTTTTATTAAAATGTTAGCATAAGAAGTTTTTCAAATCATTGCTAATTAGGTAAATCATTTTCTAGCCAGAATTTATCATTTCATTAGCTTGCTATGTTATAGTTATATATTCCTTATTCTTGATATTATACCTTAGGGGAAAAAAAAAGAGGACATAATGATTGAAATGTAATGTGACAGGAATAATTTTTAAAAATTCAAGATTAATTGATTGTTATAACTAACATGCACATTCCTTCGAAAATATTTCAATAAATTATTTTAAATTTAAAAAAAAAAAGGAATTTGTAAAAACTTTGGGAAATATTGCATAAATATGTTTGCAAAATCAATTGTTTTTATTTTTTCGTTTTTTCTTTTTTTTTTTAGAATTTGGATGGAACCATTCCAGCATCATTATTCATAGCTGAAACATTGAATGCAAATTTATTTGAAACAAATAAATTCATCCAACAGATGATTCAGGAAACGCTTTATTCATTAGCACAAAATGGTTCACTTCTTGGTCTAACAAATTTATTTTTTCTTGTCTTGGTAAGTTTAATTACTGTAAACAGGAAACAAAAAAAAAAAAAAAAACGGAAATAATTTTTTCTGAACATTTTAGTTTTTTTTTTTTAAAACTTTCTGAAATTGATAATTATTAAGATAAATGAAAATATCATCATTAACAATAATCGCAATTATTAGAAGTAATAATAATAATTTCTTTTTTTTCTTTACTTTAATATTATCATAAAAATAGTGTTTGATATAATTATATTAATTATAGTATTATAAGTAAATAGGCTATAAATGATATCATCTATAAAAATGATGATAGGAATAAATAAAAATGATGATTATTTAGGCTGTTATTAATCGTTCAATGGCTGGTAAATCAATACGATTATCACGGAAATGTGTAATTTCAATTTTTTCAATTGTTTGGATATTTTTATTTATTACACATCTCTTATTTTCTTCCCTTCAACTTACAGCACTTCATTTTATCAGTCAAATGTTCAGTACAACTCGTCAATATGATGCTCAGTGTAGTAAAAGAAGGTTTAATTTTTGAATGAAATTCAAATTTTATTTTATAATTATAATTTGAAATAGCAATAATTATAAATTGAAGAGAATATAAATTATTTATTATAATATTATGTATCAGAAATTAATGAATAAATTACTAATTTTTTAGTTTAAAAATGATTAGTTAGTAATTTATTTGGCAATAATTCTATCATTTGAATTTATCAAGTATTATTGAAACAATTGAAATAATAATCATAAGTTGAATTCTGATTTAAAAAAAGTGAAAATTGTTAAAAAAAAGATTTAATTGATAATTTATTTGAAAATAATTCTATCATTTGAATTTATTAAATGTTATTAAAATAATTGAAATAATAAAATGAATTTCAATTATAACAAAGAAAAAAAAACAGTGAAAATGGAAATTATTAAAATATAAAAATTAATTTCAGTTTGATGCTAGCAGATTATAATATTTTTGGTGATTTATGTGAACGAATTTCACCTTTTCATAATTTTGGTGTTTATTTATTACATGGTCATACACTTTTTACGCTAACTTTTCTTGTAATAGCATTAGCAATTTTTATAATAACGATTTGCTATAATCGTAATGTACGTCGACAAAGTAATGTATTTAGTGGAGAAATACGGTTTGATTTATTTTATTTTCAATAAAATTTTTAAATTTATTTATTTTAGTTTTCAAATTATTTTTTTGTTTTAAAAAACTTTTAAATTTGTTCATTTCAATTTTCAAATTATTTTTTTGTTTTGAAAATTTTTAAATTTGTCTTTTTTAAAAATTTTTTTTAAATTTTGGTTTTTTAAATTTTTTAAATTTTGGATTTTTTAAATTTAAAAAATTTTAAATTTTGGATTTTTTTTGGAAACTTTCAAATTTGTTAATTTTAATTGTTGAATTATTTTATTAATTTAAAGTGATTTGAATAAATTTGAAAAAAAAAAAGGAAAATTCATGCATTCTTTCAGATTTCTTCTCAATTTTTTCTTCTCATATCAAAATTTAATTCAAATATTCAATTCAATATTCCATTCTACAGAAAAAAATGAAGATTCATAAAATTTTATTTAAAAAAAAGTTTTGATTTGAAAAAAAAAAATTTGACGAAAGATTTTTTTTTTCTTTTTATTTTAGTGAATGTAAACCACAACGCCGTCGTGAAATGCTTTTTAATACACTTCTCTTATCCATTTGCGCATATTTTATTTCAATTGTTGGACAATCATTTATTGAAATAGCCGTTTTTTGGGCAAAAGATCGTGAAGATGCAACAGAATGGGCTCAATGGTTTCAATTAGCTCGAATTGGCGCATTTGTCGATCCACTCTTCAATCCATTACTGGTAACATTAAGGATACCAGCAATGAATGCTAAAGTAATGAATTAATTTATGTTAAAATTAATCATCAAATAGGCAGTTAGCTATTAGAAGCTTTTTTTTTTTTTTTTTTGTAATTGACATAATTCAAATTTAAATTTTATTAAAAATTATTCTAAAAAAAAAAACTTTTGAATTGCTTTTTATGCATAATGGTAGGAAATATTTTAAACTATTAATTATCTTTTTTTTTTCTTACCTCTCTCTCCCTCTCTCTCTCTCTCTCTCTCTTCTTCTTCTTTC